GCTTCCCTTGACAATGCCTGTAAACTGGCATTAAATTAAAATTTATTTAATTTATTTATTTATATCAGGTCCCCACGTAGCTGTCTGTAACTCAAAGGACAGAGGTCAAGATTAGCTAATCGTGTTTCGTAGGGTAGTGACCATTGACCAGATACAAGTTTCGTTGCTCGCCGTTGAACTTTTTCGAGTATGCCCAAGTCTTTAGCGGTCCTGGGTCGCCATGCTTGGATAGCAAACTCCAGAGGCGGTCGCACACAAGTTTGAAAGACCTTGGCGAAGCAGTCTTCATCAAAGGAGGAGAACGCCCGTTTGACAAGGTATAGCATGGACATCGCCGACTTGGCCACCTTTAAACATTGCAGCGAAGGCTTAAGCGAGGTTGTGATCCATACATCCAAGTCCATCTGGGCGTCGACTTCTTGCAATGGTTTGCCAGTCAGACGGTAGACCGTGTGGTTAGGAGAACTGGTTCTGCCGACGCGTAGGAAAGTACACTTGTTTGCGTTGAACGGTAGAAGCCAGTCTTTCGACCATTGCTCGAGGTGGTCCAGATTTGTCTGCAATCGCGCCTCGTCATCTTCGTTCTGGTGTTATTCCAGATCTTTGTGGTATCAGCAAACATTGCGATATCGCAATCCAGTTCGTTTGCGCAGTCATTGACGTATACGAGGAACAGTGTAGGGCCAAGAACAGAGCCTTGGGGAACACCACTCTTAACGGCAACCTCGGCAGATTGTTGGTCACCGACGTGGACGGCTTGAGAGCGGCCGATTAAAAAGCTACGAATCGACATCAGAAGCTTACCTCGCACTCCTGCACGGCTAAGTTTGTATAGAAGGCGGTGGTGAGGCACACTATCGAAGGCCTTTTTAAAGTCGATATAGATGGCATGCACCATATCTCCTCTATCAACAGCCCTAGTCCAGTGTTCCAGACAGTAGAGCAGGTTTGTCACACAGGATCTGCCTTTTTGTAATCCATGCTGAGAATCGGAAAGCCAATGGTTTTGTTCAAGCAACTGCATTAGTTGTTGCTTTATTATCTTCTCCATAATCTTACAGCAAATGGAGGTGAGGCTGACCGGTCTGTAATTGTTCGCAGAGACTCGACTTCCGCCCTTGTACAGCGGCGTAATTCACGCCGACTTCCAGTCGGGTGGCAGATATCCGGTCTCGAAGGATGTGTGGAAAAGCACGGAGAGTGGGTTAGACAACTCACCGGCGAGTTCCTTCAAAATCTTCACCGGAATCTCATCGGGACCTCGTGATTTGGATTCTTTTAGCCTCAGCAACTCCGTCAGAACCATACCCGCAGTGAACTGGACGGTTTCTATAATTGGGGTGTCTTCGAAGGATTGAAGGGCCGAAGGTTTGAATCCTGTTTCGCTACTAAAAACAGACCGAAAAAATTCGGAAAGGTGATCAGCTTTCGTCCTGTCGTCAGTGAGATTTTCGCCTTCAGCAGTCCTTAGCAGGGGTCTTGGGTCCTTGTTCCGCGTGCACTGCCTAATGTAACCGTAGAATAGTTTAGGGTTCTCCGCGGCACGGTTAAGCAGATCCCGTTCGAATTCCTTTCTAGTTTTGAGGATAAGACCCTTGACTCGATTTCTTTGAATTTTGTACGCGCATATAGATGTGGGGCTCCTGTCAGAAAGCGATCTTTTCCACAGCCGTCGTTTTTTATTCACTTCATTCTTCAAGGCTTGCGTAAGCCATCGAGGTCTGTTAGTTAACCTCTTCCGTGAAAGCGGACAGTGTTTTACGATCAGCTCGTGCAGAATTTCTCGGAACCGTTGCCAGTTTTCGAGTATGCTCCCAACAAGTATGGACTCCCACTCAATGAGTGAAATTTCAGCCCTCATTTGGTCGAAATCCCCGCGCCAAAGGTTTCTTCTAACTGTCCCGGGTTTCTTGGGCATGCAAAAAGCGAGTAATCCCATAGAAGAACGACGTGGTCACTTTACCTAAGGGGGTAGGCATGGCACCTCATCAATGCTGTCCTGTGACTTCGTAAGGACAAGATCAAGGCAGTTGGCTTGTTGGCTTTCGCGTACTCTAGTTGGTAACATGACGCGTTGACTTAGAAAAAGCTTCGGTGCCGTGTTCAGAAAACTCCTGTCGAAGGTCTGTTCTGAGCTATTTGCATGGATTGAGCTCCAGTCAATATCGGGCGAGTTAAAGTCGCACATTATTAGGATATCCGGCCGCGTAGCGAATTTTTCGAGCTCCTCCAGCAAGCGAGCGTCGGCCATGTTGTCCTGTGTCGGCGGCCGATAAACTCTCAGGACCTCGAGGCTAGGCGAGCTCGGCAATTTAATAGACAACCAGATTACCTCGGAAATGCACGAAAATTTATCGGTCTTGTCTGATACATTTAACCCATTTTTTACATACGTAAGTACGCCTCCTCCCTGACGCCCTTCCCTATCCCTTCTAAACATCTGGTAGCCAGGCAAGGCCAGCTCACGGTCGTCCACGTGTTGGGTCAACCAGGTTTCTGTTAGAGAGATTACGTCAGGGGATAGGTCGCAGAAATGGATCTTCAGCTCGTCGAACTTTGATAGCAAACTCTGCACGTTGGTGTACAAGAATTTCAATTTCCGGCTGACGGAAGATGTGGTTATATTTGGGTTAGCGCCTTCACTTAATATGTCGGCTGCGCGGTCATTCGGACAGGACCTGTCCAAAGGAAGAAAGACGGACGCCGCCGTACTTGGTTGTTGTATATTACCAAATTGTTCTCCCCCTCGCTGAGCCTCTTTCTTAGTTAGATAGATAGATAATTTTTAATTAAAGACCCGTCGGGGTTCTAGAACTAGCTGACGACGTTTGAGCCGTTCGGCTGGCAAGTAGTCCGGTTAAAAAAACACCTGGGTTGGAGCCTTTAATCATGAATCGCCTGGAGTAAATGAGACTGGCTTGGTCGCTGCTGGTCAGTACAACTTTAAGAGGCCGGGGACGAGTGGACATTGATGGATTATCTGCTCGTTTTCCAAGGCGGAAGGCTTTGATCACTTCAATAGCCTCCGTGGGTTCCAAAATATTATTGAGAAGACCTTGGAAGAGTGATAGGTCTCCCGAAATTCGCTCCTTGGGAGTAATAGCACTTGATTCAGGGAGCCCCTGAATAATAAGACATTGTTCTCTGTCGGTCTCTTTTTTATTTTCTACGGAATTGTGGTTCCCTAAATGAAGTAACGTTCTGGGACTACGCGCTGGTGATGGTGGAGCAGATGCGCTTACGCCGTCTGTTTGTTTGACTCTTATGTTGACAATCTTGGAAGAAGAACTTGGCAGAGAAGACTGCGGAGAGAAATCTGTGGCTGTGATGGATGAATCGATTCCACCGCTCGTTCTAGGTCTATCAAGCTCGGACTGTTTCTGATAGTCAGCAAAGGTGTTTGAACACACAGCATTTGTCATGAGGGGCGGAACATCTGTGAATGTCTCTGCTTCGGCCGCTAAAGAGGCATCTTCCGGAAGTAGCCGACCGTCTTCCCCGGCCATTTTACAGTTGGATTTCTTTTTCTCTTCAGTTTTTGGGTTGCCTTTCTGGTCGTTATTTTCTAGCTTTTTAGCTATTCCTTCTGAGGCCGCTGTAATAGGTGCTGGCATGCCTATTATGCTGGGAGCTTTTGCCCTACTTCTGATTACTTGTCCAGTAGGCATATTGGTAGCGTTAGCTTGGTCTAGACTGCATCGCAACTGGGCTTTCATTTTTGTGATTTCTTCCTCAAGATAGTTGACCTTGGCGGCTAGAATCTGGCATCCACTGCAGCTTTGGCCTGCATTTTCTGCGTCCATACAGCCAATTAGACTATGTGATATCACTCGCCGACGCGCTGCGGTGGCGTAGGGGTTAGCGCACTTGACTAAACAATACACCGACTCAATACACCTGACTCAATACCCCGACGATAAAAGCGGTCAGTGGAGACGGTTTATCGTTTAAAGTATAATGCTATTCTATATTTTTACGAGGAAAACCTTTTGTATATGCAGGTAAGACTTGATAGGATTGAGGCTATGTTGGGTGAAAAACTACGACATTAGATTTCTGCTTTATGACGAATCGCCGAAACACGACGGGAAGCGAAGATTACTTATGACGAAAAATAGAAAATTTTGTTAGATCTACACTGGAAAACTGTACAAGAGATTAAGAAATTGAATCCGAAAAATAACTTTAACTTATCTTTTCAAAATCGTGCTGCGCTCGTCCTACATTTAATTGAAAGAAGGTGCCCTGTTACTGCGGGACCTGTGAAGTGAAACAAAGTTCCGTGTACTCGTACGTTCCGATGAGACACTTTTAAAAAAGAAAATGTCGAATTCGGCTAGCATAAGTTTATAACCGCTGATAGTCAGGTCCGTACATTAATGTACGCTACGTGTAGCACTGTCATTCTCTCTTTGCAGCTGAGGGTCTGTGAGCGTGCAATCAGACCTACTGACCCACAGGAATAATGCAATAACCAAACTAACTGAGCCAGAGTTTTAACAGGCCATTCATTAGGCGTTACACTTTTTGCTGGTGAACGAATATTAATAGCCTTGGAAAATCCGAACGGGCCAGTAAAATTTGAATATCGTCCACGTTTTACAGTAGACGTTGTCAAATCTAACCACACTGTCGCATATATAGCCCCGCTGGTCACAGCTTGTCGTTGACCGGCTGGATGGACAAAAAAAGGAAAAAGAATAAGGGTGCCGATGTTTACGAGGATCCCTTAAAACCGACCGCGTTTGAGCTTGAAGTTGCGAATTACTTACATAACAATTTACCAAAAGTGGATGGCAAGCTTTCCGGGTGTCGCGTAAACATATTCTACGCGGCGGATGCGGTGGAGCTCCTCATCAAATCAAAGTGGTCAAAGATCAACCTGAAAAATAAACCTAATGAGAATGCACAATTTTCATCCGAGGAGTCCATACTTCGATTTATGACAAAGTTGTTGGAAAAAAACATGATTAGCAGGCACGTTTTCAGTTAGGATTTTGATGTGCACGTTTAGGGCCATCAAAGCCAAGAGAAAAGTCACTAACAAACGTAAAGAACCGGAAAAACGGAAGGTGAAAACAACAAAAGCCAACGATTCTAAAACTTCAAAAAATGACAAGTCCCAGGTTTGTTACACATGCATTAATGCATGGCAATTGTATCTCCTTGAAATTGGCTAGTCTGATTATGTGTAATAAGTCTCGTTTGTTTGTTACGTAGGTTAGCATTCAGGGTGAAGAACGTCGTCCTACTCACACAGTTCGCAGATAGGGACTATGTCCCTTATAGGCCTACCCTAGTTGTCCGTGGCGTGCAATTGCTGAGGAAATCTTAGGCTACCAACATTTTTTTCCCAAAATATGCATGCTGGAGTGTCCTTTAACGCCTTTAGCATTCACGACACTGTTTGTGAATGGGTGAAATCATAGGCAACTTTCTAACTTCGAGCATTGGCGAAATCCTATCCGTCGACCAATCGTAAGACCATGGTTTTCGTCCACATACTCTCGTTAAGTGTTAAAAAATAAGCGAATTCCGGATTTCGTCCTAACGACGACGGTTTGCATGGTAAGATTGATTCCATTTGCGGTTTTTTTCTACGGACCAGTCAAGCCTTTTTCGTCTACGTCGAGTTGGCATCCTTTAAAGGTCGTGTGCAAAGTCTCTTAACCATCGCTTATTTTGCGTGCCAGCCGGAAACATTATTTATCTGTAAGGGCCTAAGAAAGGTTGCTCAGATGCATTTTCACAACGGCAAAATTAAAATACAAGTGCCGTCGCATGTTTCCCTGAGAATCAGTAATAGCGACCAGGGAAACAAATTGTTCTCCATTCACCTGACAACTTTCTTCGTCTCTTTTTTGTGTACTCTGTCTGCCGATGAGGAATACACCACTTCACCTGTCATACAGTCAAATGGAATGAAATTTCTGATTTGAGAAGCTGATAGACACCTCTGTTGCTGTCATGAAGTTATCCACTTGCATTTACACCCTTTTAACTTCTGTCACCCCTTGGCTCTAACCGCAGTTATGTGTATTCAAACCGACATGGTCACGTCAGCCTTGTCTTCCTCGGTGTATTTTTGCATTTTTAAGACAGCTTTCAGATGACAGCTAGTTTCCTCCTCGTTGCTAAATGACCAATTTTCTCCTCGTCGAGAACCAGAGTCACACTAGGATTGCACCTGCCTTTTGACGTACAGTAGATGCAGTAACTCATGAAATGTTATGAGGATACGCCCACGCCGCGTTCACCAAATTTTTACAGTAGTAAACAAACGGCCGTTCTTAAAAAGAAGACGTATTTGGGTTTATAAATTAGTTGAGAGACATGAGAATAATAAATTTTAATTGAAAACTAAAAGTACGGAAAATGGCTGCATTACAAGTAATTCAAGTAAGGCTAACCATAAGGGTGCATAGGGAACGGAGGATTCGCATTAAAAGCGAAAAATAATAACCAATGCAGTAAAAAATTTTTTATTGACAGCCCATTTTCATTTAACGCAGCAGAAAGTCCATCGCACATTGAAATAGCCAGGTTGCCTATAATGATTGTTCAGTGTGATTATCCAGCACAAATTCAGGCTTTTCTTTGCCTTGCGCCGCTTTCTTTTGATAAGGGTGAAATATTTTTGATAGGATTAAGATCCGGGCCGTTGGCAGGCATAAAATTGAACGGATGCCACATGCGGAAAGACAGGGTGTTGTCTAAAAAGTTAGATTACAGTTGCATGGGTTGCCGAATTCATATCTCTTTAGAACGATAGACGGGAGCATTACGTATGAAATTATAGTATCCATTCGGTGTCGGTTGATATCGTTTTAGCTGAAGACATCCTTAGCAATGCCGACAAGCACCTTGGTGTTGATGGTGCCCATAGTCGACTGACAAGCCACACCACACCATCAACCGTCGACATTTCCTGGAGTTTGGCGTCGGCGCAGTGGGTTTCCTGGAAAGCTCATATCTAAAATTAAGATCTTATATCAGAAGTAAATGGTCTGCCAGAATGTGCGCCTCTGATCAATGTATTTCTTAGCAAATGGCAAACGTTCTCTAATAAGTTTCCTATGTACCTGCATCCTTTTCCCGATTATGTTCATAGCGAACATAAACAGATGTTCCTCGTCAGTGGCCTGAATGGGCATGTAGTGATGTCTTTTTGGTGTATGATGAATAAAATCGCCGTCTTGCTTTTTATGAGCCGTTTTGGTTCGCTCCGCCTATTTCTGGCAACACCTCTGCGGCAAATATCCGTATACGTTCACAGTCGACTACAGATATAAACTGTCTGAACTTATTTATGGCACAAGAAAAGTGACAGCATGTTGTAAGTGCTCAATATCTGTTTTCTTACGTCAAGTGATTATCGGTGTGATAAAACGAACGGCGATCAAAGGAATTTATCACCAAGTTTTATGCTACAAAACGTCACAGATTTACAAATCAAAATTTTTGAAGCTGGATCTGCCCCTCTTTTTTTAAAAATTCAATTTCTCATATTTGCCTTCACCTGATTCCCATGGGCACGAAGCCCACTTTTCCGCCTCCAGAAGGGATTTATTTGGAATTTTTCTTGTTTAAATTGGTGTCCGTTTGCAGTAAAATGCGCGCAAACGTGAGGTTTAGGCCTATGAATTTCAGTAGCGACGGAAATTGCCTGGGTATCGAAAAAGGTCGGATTTCGCTCAAATTTGGCATAAATAACAACACCAAGGTTATGGCATGCTACGCATTCGAATTTTCATCTCGACTTTTTACGAGTTAGGCTGGTCTACTCTAGGCGTCTGCTAGCCGCGATTTGATGGCTTGCGGTCCAACCTTTTGTGGAAGTTAGCTGTTTCACAAGCGAGCTCCTATGTAGGACGTATAAGCAGTCACTGACGAGAAGATGCTGTGTCGCGAGGGCACGAGCCGAATCTTTTTTTATCCGAAAGCTGTGTCAGGTCTTCGAACTGAACTGGATTGGTCATCAGAGGTTTTCAGACTGCGTCGATTACGTTATTATGATACGGCACCCTCGTGGCAGAAGCAGTTTACTCAGCCGCCAAAACTAACTGGCTCTATGTCTTCATCGATAACCTTGTTTGAGGATGGTGTGGCGTCAGGGTATAAGTATGACTCGTCTGCTATCCCCTTTTGCATATCAGTTGCTAAATAGCAAAGCTATCGAGCAAATTATTTGATAGAGACCACCTGTCTAAATTAACCTCCGAGCATGGTTCGACGGTATTCGTTAATCGATCACACGACACTCTGATTTGATCTCCACACAGACTGGAGTGGTACCTATTTTTCCAAATGTTCTTTCTAGAAGTTCTTTTGACTTCGCATTGATAGTTGCCGCTATCATCCCTCTCAATTGGTTCCGCCTACCTCGCATCGCCCCATCAAAACAGGATTTTTGGGGATTTTGGCGGGCGCAGAACTGTGTGAATCAACACTTCTTCCTTGAGCGAACCTGTAAACACTGCTGCTCTTATCCTTTGTTGTTTTTGTCCATTTTCCCACCAATATATGCTCTGTCGCACTCCCCGTGATCGGCCATACTGCATGCCGCGGTGGTTGCTGGGTATGAGTCCAGCGTGCTATCGCGGAACAAGCAAAAACACTTGAGTACTTTGCGGAGTGATTTGTTTAATGCACCCTCCAGCATCCATCAGGGCCCTGTGTTTTTGCCTATGTCGAACTACAAGATAAACTGGGTCCTTGGGCGTCGGTTCGCTAAATATTGATCTGCGCACTACATACGCTGACCACAACCAGCGGTTGTTAGGCATGTGTTTTGTCTCCTGTAAGCCCGAACATAGCCAAAGTGCACCTGCACATGTGACCCTTGAGAAAATCACCTCAGATTTCGCCCGCCTGCCGGATCGTGTGCGTCGAAAATTGTTGACTAATTAAGTGCTGCTATTTTTGATCAAACAGGCAAAGCTAGGATGAAATCAGGTGTCGTATTGGTCGGATGCGTACGACTTCTGTTCTCTTTCATCATTCTACAATATCTGTCGGTTGAGAAAGTTCAGAGTGCGTGAGGTTTCCATCCACAGGTTTTTTTATATAGGCATATAGCATGAGATGGAAGTTCAGTGGACACTAACCTCATGGAAGTGTTCAGTGTGTTCCATCCTCGATTTGCATCCCGTTTGGGCATACAAACCACCAACCGTGCTCCTTCTGCTTCTCCACTGTGCTTCCCCTGATCCCGTGTTTGTTTTCTCTCGCTGAGGATCTTTCTGGAGATCAAGTCGCCGTGAGCAGGTCTGCGACTGACGATATGTCGAGTTAAGTGTTAAAATCTGATTCGAAACGCACATGAAAGTTCGACTGCCGTGCCCGAAAATGTCCACCGTGTGCTCCACAGCAAGGTGGAGTAGGCACGGTGACATGCGCGCGAATTTGTTTATAATGGGAATACACTTGCGCAGCATCTACCCCACCCTCTTCTCCCCTCCACCTGGGTCCGGTGTAAAGACACAGTCAAGAAGACCGGACGCAGGATGGGGCGGCGGTGGCTGGCACGACCGGATCCACCCCTGGTCCATAACAAACACTTTACCAGGATCTTAGCAACAACAACAACAGCACTACAACGAGTCAGAAGGGCGACTGGGCAGCCTTGCTCGCGACCTGTATACCCAACGCTAGTGCAAGGGCATCTACTGACAGGGACCCAGGTGCCAGAGAACTGCCAACCCACACTAGGCTGCGGGGGCCGTGGTTTGCTAACCATGGCATTGCAGGTGCTTAAATACTGTGAGGCCTACCCGCCCACATAATCTGCTGTTTGCCCCGTTCATGTGCCAACTGGGTGGAATTTGCCCGCGATTTGCCTTCCCAAAGACTGGAATGGGCGATGCTCATTTACAATGCGATTAACTGGCAGCACAGGACCTGCTGCATCAGGTGTGATGCTGGTCTTTGCTCGTACAAGTGCAGTATTCTCTGTTTATATTTCAATACTTATCCTGGTAAGGGTACCTTAGATTCCCTTGTTGCACAGCCATCGACAAGGACGTCAACTCCGCATATTCTTCAATTGGTAGACCCTATCTAAAGGATTCAAATATCATCATGTTTTCCCGTGCCCAAATTTTTCTTCCACAGAATGACGTCGGCGAACACGACTCTGAAACGGACAGAGTTGAGTCCAAATCCCCCCCGGCCGAATCCTCCACCGAGAAGTCGGAGGCTAAATCGAAAAAGTCCTCCGGTGACTCTTTCGGCTTCCCCTTCTTCTCAACCCCTGCTCAAAAACCCATCCGTCTGGAGTATACGGAAGCTCAAGTGTTCACCCTTGATGACCCCGAGACTGTCTACGTGTGGATTCACGAACCACCACCCAGCCTCAAGACATGGCTCCTCGGTGCAGCTCTCATTCTCGGCATCATTTTGTGTTGCTTCTTCCCCATCTGGCCCTGGCAACTGCGTCAGGCTGCCTACTACTTGACTGTGCTGGTTCTCCTCCTTCTCGGTCTCCTCTTCGTCACAGCTCTCATCCGTCTCTTTCTCTACGTCTCCGTTTTCCTACTTAGTCTCGGCCGGCGACAGTTCTGGCTTTTCCCCAACTTCTTTGCGGACTGCGGCTTCTTTGAATCCTTCCGGCCGTTCTATAGCTTTGAGAAGACTGGCGCCGCTGCTGCTACGGCTGCTGGCAGTCCGGTTAAGTCGACTAAAAAGGAGGGCAAAAGGTCCTCAAAGAAGGCTGCCCCCTCAGTGGAATCATCCCCTCCGGCTTCTGTGGAACTAAAACCCGCCGAGGGGGATTCAGAAAAGGCCTCGCATGGGAAGCAGGACTGATGACAACACTATCAAGGCTTGTTTTGCGAGCGAGCCGGCTTCGCTGTCATGCTTCCATGCAACTTGCCTATCATCTTCCGACCCCCACCCGCCTCTTCTATCCTGCTCTGCATGTTCCTCTTTTCAGTTTACTTTTTCCCCTCGGCAAAGGTAGTAGGTTGGTATTTTGTAGATACGTCCCTCTATTAATATAAAAATGTGAATAATTTAATGATCAAGTGGTGTCTTAAGTCAATTTGACTTGATAAACTACTTAGGACTGCCACCTCTGTCATGCGCCTTCTGATCGGCGTTGAGTGGGTTATTTGCAGTGACAATTTTTTTAAACAGACTAGAGGCCAGTAAAATTGACCCAAGCATATAGTTTTGATATATTTCCGCTTTCTTTGGTCGTCCCTAAATGCAGATAAGGAGTGGGGGGATTTATTCTAGCAAAGTGCTGCAATCACAAGTCAGGCCTACGTATGCTGACAAAGCAGGGAAGCGCAGTTAACCACAAACCACCGTCGGGAATGGGCCAGATTAAATCGGATTCAGGCAGTCCGGTTAAGTCGACTAAAAAGGAGGGCAAAAGATCCTCAAAGAAGGTTGCCCCCTCAGTGGAATCATCCCCTCCGGCTTCTGTGGAACTAAAACCCGCCGAGGGGGGTTCAGAAAAGGCCTCTCATGGGAAGCAGGACTGATGAGAAAACTATCATGGCTTGTTTTGCGAGCGAGCCGGTTTCGCTGTCATGCTTCCATGCAACTTGCCTATCATCTTCCGACCCCCACCCGCCTCTCCTATCCTGCTCTGCATGTTCCTCTTTTCAGTTTACTTTTTCCCCTCGGCAAAGGTAGTAGGTTGGTATTTTGTAGATACGTCCCTCTATTAATATAAAAAAATGTGAATAATCTAATGATCAAGCGGTGTCTTTAGTCAATTTGGACTGCCACCTCTGTCATGCGCCTTCTGATCTGCGTTGAGTGGGTTATTTGCAGTGACAATTTTTTTTAAACAGACTAGAAGCCAGTAAAATTGACCCAAGCATACAGTTTCGATATCTTTCCGCTTTCTCTGGTCGTCCCTTAATGCAGGTAAGGAGTGGGGGGATTTATTCTAGCAAAGTGCTGCAATCACAAGTCAGGCCTACGTATGCTGACAAAGCAGGGAAGCGCAGTTAACCATAAACCACCGTCGGGAATGGGCCAGATTAAATCGGATTCAGGTGCAGTTAGGAGACGCCGAGGAAATGAGTCGTTGCTGCAGCATTGTTCTGTAGTGGCGATCAGTAGCGTGTAATTTGCTGTAGAGATGTGGCTCCGGCCATGCCAGCCACCCTTTTGTTGTTGGTTATAATCCTGGTCATTCGCCGTGTGGACTAGGGGCTGTGGAGTAGAACGTCAAGGTGCGGGCCCGACCGCGCCATCCACCTGCGCCCTTCCCCGCTTCCCAGTCTTCTTGACTATGTCTTGACACCCGGTCCAGGTGGGGGAGGAGAGAATGCGGTAGACGCATCGCAAGTCTGCATTTACTATAAACTAAATTACACGCAAGTCACCGTGTCTACTTCACCTTGCTGTGGAGCACACGGAGGACATCGTCGGTAACGATTGGCTGTAATACCTTTGTTGGGTTAGTTTTGAGGGTGCGGGACGCATCTGTGAACGGGAAGTTTAGAAAATCGATAATCGAGCTGAGTGGATGCGCAAGGCAGTTAATTGGGTTTGGGTTGGCCCGCCGCATTTATCTTTGGTTCCATGAAACTCCGCCGACTGCAGCTGAACACCTCAGCAGTCACTTCAGTTAGCTGGAATGAGGGCAACTTGCGTGCCTTTCCGGCGCCAATTGATTGGCGCGTACAGTTTGATTTGGTCTCCCTGGTGAGGGGGGGGGGAGGTTTGGGGGGCGTCCACTGCGTCCCATCTCATCATCAAGCGTCCCGTCCTACAGAAATCATTAATTCACTATGGACCATGAACGGGTAAGGCTGACTTTGAGGTAGTCTCCCTCGCAGGCGTAGAGGCAACCGTCACCCGGGGATAAATCCACGGGTCTTCGGTTGGGCTCTCTCCCCTCCATAGCTGACGGCTCACCGTCGATTCCGACGATGTCCGCCGTGCGCCCCAGAGCAGGTTGAAAGCAGGGACGGCTACTTGCGCGTGCATTAGTTTCTAATGACATTGGACTTGCGCAGCACCTACCGCACTCTCCCCCTCCCTCACCTGGGCTCCGTGTCAAGGCGGGGGTGGGGGGGGGGCGACTCGGATCCCAATTGGCGCGTGGTGAGCCTGCAACTAGGCCTGCTATCACATCCCAAATATTGGCATTTGTTATGGGTGCGCATTCCTGATGCAGTCCCGCTGTTGGTCCAGCCCATCTACCGCGTAACCTGTTTTTGGGGCAACCGCGCTACCCGCAACAGTGTTGGGCCCCTCGTGGCGTTCCCCGACAGATGACGATGTTCACCCTTTGAGGAATAGTAATTTCCATCGAGAGTTTGATGTGTACGACTGCATCTATCACCTAGAAAGGCAAGACTCAAACTCACTTGAGCCCCTGTTTAACGATTCGAGAGATGGAATTTAAAGGAAATGCCTGTACGCGTGAGAACTCCTGAAGGCTGACGACACGTTTAATGACTGTCGTGCTTTATTTGAACCGAAGTCGCTGCTTTCAGTAATTGAGTTTTAGACAGAACTGTCGGGGTGTGAAGCGTGGCCGCTACAACTTTCACATCTGCATTGAAGTTATTGTCCTCTAACTAGCAACCATTAGTTTTCGTTATGCCTCAAGAACACTCAGCCCTCTCCTATGCAAGTGTCTAATGGGTCACAGGGTTTGTGACATGATAGGAAAACGTACTGTCCACAATACTCGGTGCCAAATTCCTGCAGGCTATACGTCCTTTGGGGGTCAATATCGGACATACATTACGCCGGACTTGAGATGCTCACGTTAAGGCTGAATTATACTGCTGCTGCTGCTGTTGCTGCTGCTGCTACTACTACTACTAACACTACTACTACTACTACTACTACTACTACTACTACTACTACTACTACTACTACTACTACTACTACTACTACTACTACTACTACTACTACTACTACTACTACTACTACTACTACTACTACTACTACTACTACCACCACTACTACTACTACTACTACTACTACTACACTCGCTGTCAGCTCCTCTACCTATGTCAATAGTTCGACTTCTACTGCTAATTACGGCAATGCTTTTATTGATATCGGAACTCCTTGAACCAGACCCTGTTGTACTGTATACACTGTCATAGCGAAATATGCTTGTTACGAGCAAGTGGTGCTCGTTTCATGCTTTTGCATCCGACCCCGTTTTGGTCTTCTTTAAAGACAACAGGCTCCGTCTTATAGCAAAATTCGGTTTATTCAAAGAATCGATTTATTTGCTTCTACACGGGAGTCTCCCATTCCTGCAGCTTCACTGCGGGGCTCCCAATAGACGTACATGGTTCCCTAGTTGGTAAATCGTGAAAACAGGCGTATGCCGACACACCTGACGGACCGCTGCTTTCCCTTGCGCAACCATCCTCTTCTTACGCTCTGCGCACCAATGGGTGATAAGGCTTCTCCGGTTGCCAAGTTCCATAGGCGTCCTGCGTCTCCTGAAGTGTATCAGATGTAGGGGTATTAGCCGCGTGTTTAGTCTAAGCGGTCCATAAATAAGGACGACATAAGCCAGAGGGGGCAAACTTCAACAATGCGCGCTACCATGATTAATATGATTTCTGAAAATGTGAGAGGTACAAACGGTAGGCAAACATCCCACCTTTCTACTCGTTTAGATTAGTTAGCATACAGCCCGTGGTTTCTGATATATCGTTTATTTTGCGGGTAAGATACCCTTGTGGGTAAATCTTGGTGGTTGGTCTGTTAGTGTGTATGATGACCTTGATGAAGGTCTGGGGGGAGTCAGAGCAACAGGCTTATTCTTTTTCTGACGCATCCGATCGGCGATTTCGATAGTTTTTTTGCTGTTACTCCATCTCTTGTACAGTTTGTCTCGGCGTCAGTGACCCGGTAGCGGGGGGACGCAGTTTTGAGGGAGGGGGAGGGGGGGGTGCAGGTGGTGGCATCTAAGGCGGCGTGAGGCGATTCTTCTTGCCGCATGCATTTGCGGCTGCCAGGGAATTGCGAACCGTCTTTAAGGCAGTGAAGTAGGTGCGTCAGCGTGTTAGATCTTCCCTACCAAGTCCACTGCGCAACAGACGACAGCCCGTGGGCAGTCCGCGAATCATTTGGTTGATTTCACATCAGAGAATCACCCCACTAGGGTTAACCGTTCGGCGTACTTGGCGCATTGACAAGGCGTCCTCGCATCGTTCAAGGGGGGTCCTGATATTCCTGCTTCTTGTTTGAAAAGCTCACAAACTCGCGTCTGCATCGTCTGACGTCAGTTGGTGCTTGCAAGGTGAACTCTCACTCATCTGGCTCCTGTCATTGTCGTTGAAATCATTCTCGCCCAGATGGGTCCTGTAGATCATGACTTTCTCATGTTGTTGACCTTTACCAAAAAACCACTGGTTGAACGTTTTTCGTGTCGTGTCATATGATCAGCATTTATCAGTTGGTACCTCGGGCCGGACCTCACTTCGTAGCTTTACCTGCAGTTAACAAGCCCCAGTCTAACCCCAACCCCTAAACCCTTACCCCTAACCACAACCCCTCACCCCTAACCCTAGCGCCAACCCCTAAACATGCCCCCTAATCCCTAACCCTAATCCCTTACAGGTACGGCTACTAAGAAAGATATTGCCGTACTTAGTCTGTGGTAACATCATTCCTATATTACAGTAGTCCCTGTCCTCTATTTTCTCAGCGGGACCGCATATTCGATCGTTGCCTTAATTTTCTTTAAAGTCCCCTCCCCCTGTTATATTTCGCCTTCTTGGTGGCTTCCCTATAAAATGTCCATCACCTCGTTCGTCCTGATTCTATTCCCTACCGGCTTTCTACAGGTCAAGGCAGCCGACCAACTGGTCGCTCTAAAGGCCGCCAAGGCTGAAGAGCTTAACAGCCGGGCAGAGAAGGCGGCTGAGCAGATGGCTATCGACAAGACTGTTTTGCACTCCTCCATGGAACGCGACGACATCTTCAGGGAGCCCTTCGAAAGGGTGAAGAAACATGCCGACTTTAGGCGTGAATTGGACTTGAATAACAAGTGGGTCGCAGAGCGCAGACAGGTATGTACGTACGGTAGGTGGGCTAACTCACGAAATGTCGACCGAAATTCCGAAATGCGTTTCCGTTTCGAAAAGACTAATTAAGTGGGGTTGTAGAACTAATCATCATACAGCAGAATTCTATAATAATTCAGTTACTTCAGGATGCCTGCTTTTGAGCTTACTTTTTTCCGGCTCTGTAAAAATGACTACTTAAGTAGCATGCATTCGTCTCATTGATTTTCGTTGCCCTTAAAAATTCAATTATATTTCATGGAAAACCTGCCTAAAAATACTCATTCTCTTGCTCATTCTGCAGAAATCGACGTCATCTTCCAATTGTATACTCGAAGAAAGGGTATAACGAGGTTTTGAAGAAGTTTCTAGCTGTGAGTTTTTTTAATATGGTGAATGGCCGTTCATAAAACGTCATGTATCTGCATTTACGAACGTGGCCTATAAAGTTAACAATATTGCTCAAATCCACTGCTTAATTTTATGAATCCCATATGGTCTCCCCTTAAATCCGTAGAGAAATGCATGCTTTTCCGTACACGGAAAATATACGGCTTGGCGTTTTGAAACCCTTAATACAAGTGTAAAATCAAGTAGGGCTCAAAATTATTCGGGAATTAGAAAAGTTTTTGAAAACCGAATTATACTCTTCATTCAAGTATAAAATCGGAAGAAGACGTGATTTTCTACCGAATAAATAAACGAGCAATTATTTTTACGCATGTTTTCCATGAAATATAATTGAATTTTCGTGGGCATCGAGAATCAAGGAGAAAATTGCATGCTACTTAAGTAGTCATTTTTTGCATAGTTCTTGCATGCAGTCGGAAATACGTTCATTCGAAAGCCGACACCCTGAGGTAACTGGATCATTATAGAATTATGATGCATGATGATTAGTTTTATAACCCTACTTAAGTAATCTTTTCGAAACGAGAACGCATTTCGAAATCTCGGTTGACATTTCATGAGTTTGCCCACCTACTGTACGCTGGGATTCAACTATGGAAAACTTAAAGCATTCGTCATGGATTCGAGAATCTCTTTGCCCATGGAAGCATGTAATGACAACTGTATCGGCCAGAATTTCGTAAAAGACGTCAGTGGGTAAAATACACAGGATACTTCTAACTTACCTACTCTCAGATCGGCTCGTAATCATTAAATACTCGTCACAAACCAGCAAGTTCACCATAATCCTCTCCCATCAACACCACCACCACCACCACCACCACCACCACCACCACCACCACCGCCGCCGCCGCCGCCGCCGCCGCCACCACCACCACCGTAATCCCCGATAATATGTGGATTTGTGGATTTTATTGAAACTGGAACTGGAAATGGTCGTCCACAACAACCTACCGAGATTCTTAGGGTCACATTGTTTGCTATCATGCGTTTCTCTCTTTCGGTCCGGTTCGGGCACATCGGTTTCTCCTCTATCTCTGGCAAAAAGACGTTTGCTTTCCAGATGGTGAAATCATCCATGAGCTTCTTCTTCTCTGCATTGATTTCTTCATCCAACTTCCTCATGGCCTCCTCCATGCTCTTGGCATAGGCTATCTTCTCCAATTTCTCCTCCTCTCTCTCCTTCTCTTTTGCAGCGATTTGACTCTGTAAATTAAATGAACAAGGGGGGCATTGATAAAGTGGTTACCCTGACGAGGAATGAAGGGCCTCCAGTAGCCGTTTCAGGGCTATTTTCATCGTCGGACAGCCAGTCATGATTAAACTCTAGTCGAGTTAAACGTTAGATATGTTGGTACTGTAGGCTGTAATCGGAAGTACTTATGGTCATAAAGAGAGCGACATTCACTTCCCGACCAAGCGGGGTGACTTGCTTATTATTCGCTCCTCATTGTACCTCAGTTCACAAGGGTACCGACCAAGCTTCTTAAAATAAATTTGACTCCCGTGCTGTGGAATGAATTCGGATAAGAACGCTCAATGCTGATTATACAGGACTTTGCGAAGACAGGCTTCGGTTAGTATATGTACCGAATTTTGGCCAACCCAGCTGCGTTGGGTCAGATTATTTTGCCCCTACTAAACCGAAGTTTTCGGCTACATCGCCTGACTTAGTGTTTGGCCCAGGTCCATAGACGCGCAGTACTCGTCCAACTACTACGCGGAAGCATTGACTGAGGTCAATAGAAGCGAAGAGACAAGTCCCAGGAAGCAGTCAATGAAGAAGGAGACACGGTCGCTGGGACAAGAGCTTTATCTGATTGACGTTTCGGATTCCTGCTCGCACCCATCATCAGAGACAACAGCAGATACGGGTGATTCATGCACAAGGGGCTGCAGTATTTATAGGATGCAGTCGCCATGCTACCGCATACCTAAGAACATTCACGACTCCCCCGCCCTTCATCCGGTACCGTCGCACCTGGTGTGCTAAATGTTTGATGGCCGACATTTGCGTCGTTAATTGCTGCAATTTCATTACGTGTATTGGATGTTGGTGTGATGAGTGCTCCACCATCTGACCCACCGACCCTGGTATAGGGAAAAGTGTTTACCTGTGCGCTCCCCGCGCGGCTAATTACTCCGCCTAGGCGAAGTCTCAGCACCGAGTATGGAAGGGGAAGTTCATTGCACTTGTTAATAGACTGGGGGCCAGTAAACCATGATTCAAGTAACTCCCGGCTCACGCGATTCGGATTAGGGTTAACGGTTAGGGTTGGGACTAGGTTAGGTTTAGGGGTAGGGTGAGAGTAGGGGTTGACAGTTATTGCTGTTAGGCCAAGGCATTCTTTCTACTTTCCGGCTGTTCGTTTCGATCGGTTTACCGTAGTTGTCGCTTATTTCAAATTTGCCATCCCATGTTCGACATTGGTTGCCGTTGTTGACCTGGATTATATGGAATATATAGAAAGTAAAACATCCAATCTGAGCCGCCTGCCTGTTTTAGTACATAAAAAGACAATTTATAGGATGATAGCTGCGCAATCCTTTGAAATACAGCGAATGGCAAACTGTAATAGTGGATCATATAACTGATAAGCAAAGTGGAGGCGATCATTAGAACTAGAGTTTTATTCGCCCTACGTTTCGGATTCTCGCCTGGACCCACCATCAGAAATTGTGGCAGAAACGGATGATTCGTGCACAGCTGATTCTTACTTCTGCTATCCGGTTGCATGTTCCAATGAAATTAGCACAATAGTTATTTACTTAAAATTTGTCTCTAGTGCTCTGAGATACAGCCGATCTTGCGCCGCTGTCTGGCGCAGCTGTGCGAGGGGTTCGATACATCAGTAGATCCCCCTAACCCTCCCCGTGTGTTTTCTGGTGTATATGAAAAGGTCTGTTCCGAAAAATTTACTCCAAGTTCGCGCATTAATCTCCTCGGAACTTAAACAAGGCAAGGGAAACTGGAGTTCATATACCAGAAAACACACGGGGGAGGCTGGGGGGCCCACTGATGCGCCGAACCCCTCGCAGCTGTGTCAGGCAGCGGCACAAGATAGGCGAAACACGCGTGTCTGGGCTTTTAGCTACTACCTTTGCTGCTAGTATGGTAAATAATTACACATTACATTCTCTCAACCCTTGGGCAATCACCACAGCGGAACAATAGTCATTGTGTACGAAGTACATTCATGCTATGCTGGCACAAGCTAACATAACGGTGGTGACTGAAATCTAAATGGTCATTCTGGGCTACTCAAACTTTGCATATTCTACGTGTTAGCTTAATGCGTTATGGAGAAGTTCCTGCCAACCATAATATGCTTATGGGTTATTTTGTAAAGGAAAAATTGGCTCAATTGACTTATGTAGACGTGTGACGGCAAGCCAAATCCGGGCGAACTCCGATGCGAGAATACTGATAAAAAGGGGCTTTACGGGTGCGGCTAACCAAAAAGTCGCGAAAGTCCGCTCAAATCGCGAGATCGCCAAAAAGCTGTAATAAAAACGAAATTTGTTTTAACTTAGTAAATGAGAGAAAAATGAGCCGCGTCAACTTTGAAGGCGATTTCAAACTTGCGCGAAGGGACCGGGGACTATGCGCGAACGCCTGATTAGCGGGAGATAGGAAACGGATGATGACCAATGAGAAGACAGAATGGCGTAAGCGGATGGTAGAACTATCACAGGACAGAGAAATGGCTGAGGACGATAACCACTAGGTTGTCGAAAAGTAAGGGCAAACAGCAGCGCTTATGCGCAAGTCAATGCTAGTGGGCCAAGTATTATCAAATAGCGAAGTTTGCAAGGGGCGAGGTTTGATCTTGCAGCCCTACTTGGTCGACACCATATGGTCAGTTAACTAAAACAATTTTAGTTGACCTACATAACTTAGCCACTCACTGGATTAGGAAGAGGAAGAGAGCGCAAACAAAGCTCGAAACATGTGCAGGAAAGCGCGTATGAACCGATGCGTGGTGTATCCGAAGGTGGCGTGTACACGCTCCCCGCGACACAACCACTCGCTTGGATTAAGTAGATAAGGAGAGAGCAATCACAACTGGAAGGCCACAGAGGGAACCGCGTGTTACTTCGCAGTGCACGGCCATTACAGTGGAACCGGCGGAGTTCCCCACTGTCCGAACAATAACATAAGGAAGCCTATTTAGCCACTCGCTGGATTGAGATAATAAAAAAGGCGGAAGCAGGACTCGAAGCACGCGCAGGGAAGAGCGTGCGAACTGATATCTGATGTAACCGAGGCT